AGAGGATTCGCCGCTGGATGGACTCAGTAGGTCTGAAGCTTGCGGAGCACAAGACCGAAGCAGTATTGATCACCAGCAGGAAAAAAATTGAGACCATCACTCTGCAAGTGGGGCCTTGTGAAATCACCTCCCAGCCGTCTATTCGATACCTAGGGGTGATGATAGATGCACGACTGAATTTCAAGTCGCAAGCGGAACATGTGGAGACCAAGGCATCCAGCGTTAGAGCCACTCTATCTCGTCTTATGCCTAACATCGGAGGACCCAAGCAAAGGAGACGCGCACTGTTGTGTTCAGTGATCACTTCAGTGCTCACATATGCTATCCCCATCTGGGGAGACGTATTACACCTACAAGAAGCACGACGTAAGATCGCACCGGTTTATCGACTTAGCGCACTTAGAGTCGCAAGTGCGTACAGGACGGTTTCTGAGGACGCGGCCTGCGTCATCGCAGGAATGTTACCGATGGAAGTACTAGCTGAAGAGCGAACATCCTTGTACTGGCGTAGGAAAGCAGAATTGCTGAGTCCCGAAGAGCTGGCGACCGAGGAGCGTAAGAATAGCCTGATACGCTGGCAGCTAAAGTGGGATAGTTCTACAAAGGGGAGATGGACACATCGCTTGATCCCCCAGGTGGACAGTTGGGTAAGACGAAAGCATGGAGAAGTAAATTATTATCTTTGCCAAATGCTTTCAGGACATGGATGCTTCAGGGCCTATCTTCATAAATTTAAGCATGAAGATTCTGCCGAGTGCCCTCATTGTGCTGGGGAATTCGAAGATGCAGATCACGTATTCTTCAAGTGCCCCCGTTTCGACGAAGCCCGGAATGAGTGGGAATATCAACTGGGGAGGAAAGTCCTCCCGGAAGTATTGACGGAAGCGATGCTGTCATCACAAGCAGCCTGGGAAGCAACGAGCAACTTTGCAACACAAGTCTTGAAAGAGCTCAGAGACGAGGAACGCAAGCGGAAAGCTGCATATAGTGAAAATTTTGGAACCTCCTAATCACACTTAACATCTTTGCAGGTTAGGGGGACGTACATGAGATTCATAAGTTGGAAGAGCATACAGCTAAGACCTCCCTCGCGAAGTAATACTTAACGGTGGTGCCGCGAGGGATTTAAAGGTTAGTGAATTTGTCTGATGGGAGTTTAGTGGGTATTGACAATTCCTGTCCGAGTCCCACACTCACTTGACGGAGGGAAGCCACTGTACCCTCCCTCAGGTGGTCGTGCGTAAATGCATTCTCCAACAGACGAAAAAAAAAAAAAAAAAAAAAAAAAAAAAAAAAAAAAAAAAAAAAAAAAACATACATACATACATACATACACCATCTAAAAATCGGATATTTGGACTTTTTAGACCATATTTAGTTTACCCTGACAAAAAATTTGAAAACTTAATTTTGAACGATTACAAAGCTTCCATTCGGAAGCAAAAAATTGAAAATAAAATACATCCAATAGAATTCCCAACTTGTACGATAGCTCAAAATACTTTTTTTGATTATAATAATTACTGAAAAAAAATGAAACAAATCAAAAGTGACATAATTTGTAAAATTCTACTGTTTCAACTTTTTTTTTTTAATTCGTTATGAGCATCTAAAGATCGAAAAAGATTTTCACTAAAAAAATTTTTATGGCAGTAAAAAATGAAAAATTTCGACGCTTAATAAATCAAAATCGGATGGATAGAACTCGAGTTATTGAAAAAAACAGAAAAGGAGAACAGAATCATATCTCGAAACTGGGATGCCCAAAAAATCTGAAAAAAATTGAGAGATAGTTGTTTAACCCCCCCCCCCCCCCCCCAATCGTAGAAAAAATCGCCATCAATTTCTAAGAGGGTGACGGTCAACGGTTGACTCATTTGGCGTGGAATACCTTCTAAACAATTATAAGCAGATAAAAAATAGTATATTTCGTTACGAGTGCGGAAAAGAGTTTTTTGACTCATGGGAGGTTTATAGTACGAGTCGAAGGTGAGTGATATAATCCCACGAGCCAAAAAACACTTTTCCCACGAGTATCAAACGATATTTTTCATCACAATGTGTGGAAAAGGGACGTTTCGCGGTGGGAAAGTTACTTTTTCGCAAAGCGTGATGAAAATAAAGTTAATTGCAGATTGAAAGTAAATTTAAATTTTGCCGTAACGGCTCAAAAAATAGAATAAATTGAATTTAATTGCATTAATTTTGAAGCTTTTTCAATTACCTTCAATTTTGCGAAAACGAAAATTCAATCTCTAATGATGAAATGCAATCATTTCACCTTTCTCTCGAACAATCAAAATGCAAGTGGAAAAAGTGAAATTATTTGAAAAATTATAACTCGCAAACAAAAAACCGAATCGCTGTGAAAATTTTACGAGAGCTTGATCCCATGTACTCTTTCTAAAAAAAGGTCGGCAAGATAATCGCAAACATGAAATTTTGTTCATTTCGGTTTTGACGTGGCATTGCTCATTTATGAAAACTTAAAATTGTAATAGAATTGTCTATGTTTTATAATAAATCATCTACCTATTCCCAATAGTATTGTAAGAAAACTCATAATTAGAGATAATTTATAGGACTTTACCCTACATGATCCCGAAATGCATATGTAATTGGTGCCTGCTTTACAAGGTGTCGCATCTTTAGCAGTTGGTGCCAGCTTAACAAATGCATTTTTCTCATTCATACAGTACAATGCACAAATATCAATATCATCTTTGAAAAATGGTTGCCACTTATGTAATCCATCTGTCAAAACTGGCTTCGTATCAAACTCCGCACACTGGACAGCTCGGAAATTCGGCTTGTATGGATCGCATGGCTGAAAATTATTCACACAATAATTGCAAAAACTTCAAAGATAAATCCGAAGAATTAACATAAAATGGATAACGAAGTTCAGGAAACAAATTGAATATCACATTTCTGAATATAGTTTTGAGTCTCAAGAAGTTTTCAACTCGTTATTAAATACTGAGAGGATTATGGTATATAGTCGTACCGAAGTATTGCAAATGGCTATTTTTTTTCTCTCTCCGATGCAGTATCTACCACCATTCGAAGGCGTCGGTTTGTTACATTCACGTTCAGATGCCTTTACACCACCACCACAGGTTCTGGAACATGCACTCTGTGGACCCCAATCACCCCATCCACCATGCACTGCTGCCGGTCTCGAGCCCATATCAACACATTTTTTCTTTATGCACCACTTATTCTCACCGCACTTGGTACCTTCTGCTGGGGGTGCATTATTTGAGAAACACTTCGTACCATTCTTACACCATAGTTGTTCACAGGATACACCCTAATGTATGAGAATGATTTTTTATTAGTTCAATTTCAGCTCCGTATATATCAGGTATTCACCGCCAAATGAGTCAACCTTTGACCCTCACCCTCTTGAAAATTGATGACGATTTTTTCTATGATTGGGACGGTTGAAAAACTATCTCCCAAATTTTTTCAGATTTTTTTGCCAGTCCAATTTGGAGATATGATTTTTTTCTCGTTTTTCGTTTTTTTCAATAACTTGAGTTCTATCTATCCGATTTTTATTTATTAAGCGTCAAAATTTTTCATTTTTTACTGTCTATAAGAATATTTTCAGTAAAAATTTTTTTTCGATCTTTAGATGCTCATAATAACGAATTTTCGAAAAAAAACTTGAAAAAGTTGAATTTTGCAAATTTTCGTAATCAAAACAAGTACTTTAAGCCGTCATATAAGTTGGGGATCCTCCTGCATCTATTGTATTTTCAATTTTTTCTTTTCGAAATTCCGCAAATTTGGTCAAAACACCCCAAAATGGCGTTGATTGACTTTGATTATAGACAGTGTGAAACGAATTTGACTGTATACCTATATATTACATATTTTAAAAATAAAATAGATGTAGGAGGATACCCAACTTTAATGACAGCTCAAAATACTTGTTTTAATTATAAGAATTAGTGAAAAAAAATGAAACAAATCAAAAGTGACGTAATTTGCTAAATTCAACTTTTTCAGCTTGTTTCTTCGAAAATTTGTTATGAGCATCTAGAAATCGAAAATTAATGACAATATTCGTATAGGTCTTCAAAAATGGAAAATTTTGACACTTGATAAATAAAAATCGGACAAATAGAACTCGTGTAATTGGTATAAACGGAAAAATGTGAAAAACATCATATCTCCGAACTAGGGTGTCGAAAAAATCTGAAAAAATTTGAAAGATAGTTTTTCACCGCCTCCAATCCTCAAAATTTTCCATTTTTTCCCGCCCATACGAATATTTCCAGTAAATTTTTTTTCGATTCCTCGATGCTGATAATAATGAATTTTCAAAAAAAACATTGAAAAAGTTGAATTTTGCTAATTACGTCACTTTTGATTTGTTTCATTTTTTTCAGTACTTTTTATAATCAAAACACGTACTTTGAGCCGTCATTCAAGTTGGGCATGCTCCTGAATCTATTTAATTTTTTATTTTGTCTTTTCGAAATTTCACAAATTTGATCACAACACTCCAAAACGACTTCGATTATGTATCGAAAAAATATGTAATATATGGGTATATAGACCAATTCACTTCGTACTCTCTATAATCCCAGTCAATCAACGCGATTTTGGGATGTTTCCATCAAATTTGCGGAATTTCAAAAAAAAATTGAAAATAAAATAGATGCAGGAGGATCCCCAACATGTCTGACCAATCAAAATACTTGTTTTGATCATAAGAATGACTGAAAAAAATGAAACATCAAAAGTGACATAATTTGTAAAATTCAACTTTTGCAACTTTTTTTTCTGAAAATTCACTATTATGGGTATCTCAAGATCGAAAAAAAAATTTACTGAAAATATTCTTATCGGTAGTAAAAAATGAAAAATTTTGACGCTTAATATATCAAAATCGTCTAGATAGAACTCGAATTATTGAAAAAAAAAAACGGAAAAACGAGAAAAAAATTATATCTCCAAACTGGGCTGCCGAAAAAATTTGAGTGATAGTTTTTCAACCTCAATCGTAGAAAAAATAGCCAACAATTTCCAAGAGAGTGAGGGTCAACGGTTGACTCATTTGGCGTGGCATACCTCATATACATTGTGGCTTGAGGTACACCAAATTTTAGCCCTTTTCATTTCATATCCACACAGTGTTCAATATTATTATAATCGCTGAGAGAAAAAATCGATCTCAGGGATCAAGTCGAGTTCTTGTCACAAAGGTTAAGGCCTTTTTTGTAAAATAAAAAGAAGTTGGTGGTCATTCTCTAATGTTAGGAAATAATTTCATGTCATTTCTCTTTGTTCCAGGATTAATTCTGAAGAACTGTCCATAAACGCGCCCCGTCGATTGGTCCTCTATTGTTATTTAATTAAATACAACAATAAAAATAGCGCACAATGCTATAAAACCCCATAATCATGAGATTAGAAACAAGTAGAGGTTGAAGCCTATCCAAGAGAAGCCATTTCATTGTTACTTTGTGTGTTATTACTTTTTTTTAAATTTCTACCAATTTCATTGGTAGTATGCGTCCGAATGGATCTGTAGGAATTCCATTAAAAAAATATGAAGTTTGGTGACTATATCTGTATGTGAGCATTTACAGCGCCACCTTTCTGATGGTTAATTTTTAGAAAATTGAGTAATTGATTGGCTAAAATAATTTTTTTTTTAATTTAAATTTGGTCAAATTATAGGTCTCCATTTTTTTTCCATTTTCGGCGCATATAGCGTATTCTAGTTGGTCTTAAAATATTCGTAATTAGTTCCTGAAGGCTCATGCCAAAGGAGAACGCGAGTAAAATTGTCAAACTTGAGAAAGCGCTAAGTATTTGTTCTTATTCTCCCTCTTAACGAACTTCATGTTCGATCGTCTTTTTATCTTTATTCTCTTCTCTTTATTTGTATTCCACGGATGCGTCCTGACACTTTTCATATACATTCATTTATTTAACTCGCCCCAATTTTTATAATAAACATTCTATAAATAGATAAATGGATTATTTGGTT